CAATTTAGCGGTTTTATGCTAGATTAACTACCTTTTCAGACCACTTTAGCAACTTTTGTCTCAAAAAGTACCTAGCGACAAATCTAGCAACTTTATGGACAAACCTGCCTACTTTTCATAGCAGAAAGTTACCAGTATTGCCCTAAATATGCGAGGTTGGGCTTTCCCTCCGCAGGCACACCTCTCTATGCTGACCACACAGCAGCTGATGTGAATGAGCTTCTAACCTTCTGAGTGATCATTTCACAAGTAAATACATAGCCGAAATCACAGCACAGCCATCATCTTTAACTTAGTAAGCCAGAAACTGATCTGTCACGGTCAAGCTAGTGTTATACTTTCCACAGTATGTGAGGGTCCGCCAGGGTCCACATGACATTAATTTCACCATCAAAGGGTGTACGCAAGGCTCTGTACAGATGTCCATCTACCCACCAACTTGCTGTGACTGTCTGGACTTGTCTGCACCAGTCTGTACTGCCTGTCTGCTAAAGGGACACCATCTGCACGTGCTCTTCCAAGTGGACTAGAAAGAGGTAAAATAACTACGTTTCTACGGTGTCCGCAGCTGTTCATGTGCATGTCCACAGGGAGTTTATTTGAGGCTAAACACACACATATACCGCCCCCACTCTTCACACCCAGGGGGTCAGTGTATACGTTGATAGCTTACAGATAAAAATAATTCATGAAAAAAGTATTTCGTCTTCTGTCTGAACATACTTTTAACACTGCTACACTGTTCAGTTCGACCGCTACAGTGTTCTGTGCTATACAATTATTCACATTCATAAACTTTGACATAAACATAAACTTCCACTCATGTTCAGACAATTAAAGTGATGACTTTTTGTGATTCATACATGTGGCTACATTATTTTAGCAGTGTGAACGCAAACATTGAAGGGCCACCTACTTCTGCCAGAGTTCAGTTTGCATATAGAGCGGGGAAATGAGATCCGATCAAAAGTGGTCACTCGAGACATGTGGAAACGCATTTTAATGTCAGATGTGATCTTGATGTGCTTCAAGTTGTCCACTGGTGATTGGATCACCCAAGATGTATGTTAATTCCAGGTCTGAACAGGGCAAATATTTCCCAACGAAGCCACCACTTGTACAATGCATCTGGGGCAGCAGGGAGTTGAAAATAAATTATACGAAGAAAATGAAGGAAGAAGGGTGTAGTTAGTGAGCTCTTTTCTTCTTATTATGAATCTACTAAAATTTTCTTATCAATTTCATCACTTATTACATACAGAAATCTGCTTCATATTATAGAAAGACTGGTAGCACACAGAATGATAAGGCACTAAATTATGACTCTGGTTAAATTCATTAGCTAAAATGCTGTATGTAAAGCATTTGGCTGGATATTCATTTATTCATCCATGCAGCTGACATGAGTAAAAACTTAAAATATTAGAAGAACTATGTTCTATGGTTTATGACACAGATATTGTTTTCTTTGTGCAAAAAGGAGATGATAACTGAGTTGTGTTTATAGTGTTCCGTGCGTTTAATTTCTCTCTCTGCATATTCTACCTGTTGTGGCATTTATATTAATCTAACGGCAATTTAGACTTGTAATGTTTAAAGTGTTTCGGAAATGTTACTAGATGCAACTTAGTAAGATTGCCACCATGAGTTGGGCACTTATTCAGACATTCGAGTGACATGCTGCAGTCAAATTTTCAACTTAACAAGATGCATGTCTGAGAGAGGCTAACTAGTGATAAATAGGGCAATATTGTGCAGAGGGGATTGCCTTAAAAATTCAGGCAGTGGGCTCACAAGACTAAATGAAATGAGCAGACACACTGAAACATACTGCACAAGGAAATGGGAGTGGTAGGAGACATATTGTAGGTGTATGTAAAGCCTGAACATATACTGTAGGTGTAAGGTATATGTTCTAAAAGCTTAAACACTGAAAAATCACTGACGTTATCTTTTGAAGTGGCTTATGAGTATAAGATTTTTTGAGAAATTTTGGAACAGACAACTGTGCACTTTATTTCAAACATAACTGAATTGTCAATGTGTTATACATGTTGTAAGCATTAGTGTAGTCCATAAAAATCTCAAATTACACACAAATGTGTAAGCCTGATTAATTTATTATAACCTATGTGTGAAATGCAAAATACTAATTTTAAACAAGCTGGTCTTTCTAATTATCAGAATGGCAAGATATAAATGTTGAATAACAAACACGGAGCATTTTGAGACTGAACCAAGATCATATTTCTTATCATTCTCATTTTCAGGCTGAAGCAAAGAAACTGGCTGTAACTGGTTGAAACTGGTCCTTATAGACTTGGCATGGCTTGAAAAACTCAACGATTGGCTTTTCTATAATCAAAATAAAAAAATAAAGGATTGCAACAAACTATCACCCCGAAACTGATTTGCATCTGCAATGTTTATTAAAAAAAAAGCATTAAAATGAGGCTGAACTTGTCAATTAAGATGGGAAACACAAACTACAGATTTCATTTTTACAGATGAACTAATCGGTTCTGCAAGTAAATTTAGCTGTAATTTATGTGGTCAAAAAACTACGGACTGTGTTAACATTTTTATCAATATTTACACGTGGAAGGAGTGTTCATGTTACATATTGTGCACACTCTGGAATTAAAAAATTATATTATTATTATAACAGATTATATTATATTATTATTATAATATAAAGGATTATATTACAGAATAAGCCTTAATGAAAAAAGCATTTAGAAACAATTTTTAACATGTGTTGGAAGCAGTGAAAAGCCATATAAGCCTATTACATGACATGTTCACAGATTCCATTATGTGGGTGCATACTGTAGCTCTCTTATGAAATGGCTGGTTTCTTATCCACTAAGTGTGATCATATTTTAATCATAAAAGTTAGAGTTACAGTACATCTGGCAAGATAACCATGTGCTATCTAATATCTACCAATACAATGTGATAAAGACGCCACTCAGCTGAAGGTATTAAACTCCCCTTTTTAACAATGCTTAATGTACATTTAAAAGCCACATGCATCTCAGTCATGTGGCTGAATTCACCACCGACATGTGTATGACTGATCAAACACACGCAAAAATACTTAAGGTTTCCATGGACCTATGGTGGGTCACGGGCCAGCAGCTGCACAGCACTGACTAACATTTGGCAACAAACCTGTATAAACCAGGATTGAGGACAGTGCCACTACAAACCTACACAAACTCCTTTTTTTCTCCATATGTAGGACATTTGGAGGTCTCCCTTAAACTATAGACAGACAGAACCTCAATTTTTCCTGCATTCTCATTTAAAGGCAGCTAGCTCCAAATTGTTGTAGCAGGTGTACGATCAATAGGAAATTCTCATCAATTGTACTGGGTAAGAGTTTAAACAAATAATTAAAAAAAAAATCTACTAACATTTACACGAAAGCTTTTGAAAAATGTAGGTGGAGCCTTTCAGGGCTGCTTCCTCTCTAGCAGAAAAAATAGACTGTGTAATGAATTACAAGTGCACCATGTGAGCACAGCCACTGGGTGAAGTAGGGGAGGTGAAACCAGACACAGGGCTGTACCATGTTTCAAAAGGTGAAAGCAAACCTGAAAAACCTCACTTTTAACACGATGATTATGATGGAATAGTTCTGTTTCTGCTGACTGCCAAATCCACAAAATGTGGCAGACTTGTCTCTCAGGTTGAAACAGCAAACACTAAATTGGTTACTTATCTGTAGATCACTTTACCTAAATCAAAAAAGATGGAGATTTTTTTTTCTCTTTTAGAAACCCACAAGACAGGGTCAAGAGGAAAACTATTCAACACTTGTATTACCATTAACATTAAGCCACACCCACATCCTAGGACAGTGTGGTGCATGGAAAATTACTGGGCTGTACCACCTTAGACCAAGAGGGGGGTTTTACTGCACAATATAATGAATGCAGCAGTTCTGTTTCCTCTTCACTTTAGACCATTTTTGTATTCTTTGCTATTTAGGCTCCAATTTAGTTTTAATTTTCATTTTGTGGATACTTTCTAAAAACCTGCATGAACTCAGAATTATTTAAAAGAAGCCAAAAACTCTTTATTAAAGCTCTACTAAGGGCAATGAAGTGAAAAAGCAAATTTAATATATTTTTACCATCTACATTTCTTATTATCTCAGGGTAGAATACCTCTCCTCAAAATGTGTCTTCCTCTTTGCCCCTCCCCCAAACTGTCACCTCTGCAGTATGCTGGATGTGCCTGCTGCTTGTTCTAGCACCAACACAACATGGTCGTTTCAACGACTTGGTAGGGTTGGACCTCTTAGACTTCAGTGAAGGACAAATACATCAAAGACGCAAATATTTCTAGTAGCTACATGGTCACTGAATTACATTAAAAGGTATTTGATTACTTATATCACACTAAAGCCAACATGAGCGGTCTGAGTGAACTTTTGCAGAAAGCAGAAAACTGTAAGTCAGTTTTTTTTTGTTCATATGACTAGCATTTATGTAAACGCTATCTTATACCAAGTTACCACAGAATAGTGTCAGACTTTAAGAGCAGCAATGTGTAATAAGACATAATGTAGTATCAATCAGAATTCGTATGCAATTAGCAATCCAGAAATTTTATAAAAGCAATTTACAAATCTGCCAAACTTGCAACTCTACTTTAATAAAATAGTGTAATGGGAAAACCTTTTTGAAGTTAAAGAAAAAAGAAAAAATAATTTCTCTTATTCAACGTAATTGACGTAGTCATTAAGCTACCATTGCGAATGCTAGCTAACATTACTTTCAACGCCCGCTGAAATCCCAACCTGTAGGGCTAATTCAAATGTGCCATCCACATACCAACAACAAAACAAAAATATTTCCATGTAATTCATGACCAAATGTTTTTGTTAATGAGCCCAAATCCAAAGAAGCATACAATCTATTTGCGTTACATAAAATGGCAAGTGAAAGCTACTTGAGAGCTAGCATGCTAGATGCAATACCTCGACTCACCGACTCCTCGCGTCGCGAAGTGATGTTCCCGCGATTTTATGTCTCGGTCTGTAACCGACTGTCACCTCCTCCTGCTGCTGTCGCACTCTTCCGGACCCTGTTGTGTACAACCGTTGCGGTCAGGATGTGGTATCAGTAGGGCATCAAGTCCACCGGTTTTAACATTCACTAGGAAAACTAGTAAGCTGTGCCCCAACAACAACTGTATAGTTGTGCGCTCGCGGATTCAACCGACTGCTCTCCAGTTCCCCTCACAGATAGACTCCTCCTCTTTTTGTGCACAAAAAAAATCCCACTATAACCGTACGTCAGCCGTCGGCGGCGGCGGGGGTTGGTCGACAGACGCCAAGCAATCGCGTTGACCAAACGTCGCGATCTGAACGGTGGTCTTCAGTTCTGTTTTTTTCAGTTTCTCCACTGGCGGCGGTGCTGAAGTCGGTAGCTAGAGCCGGGAAGGTAGGTATGCACAGCTCCAGGACGTGTTAGATCGGTTTGTATGGAGGATCTGGCAGGACTAACACAAGTATGATTGAGAGCAGCTGCAGTACCTCTGCTTGGAGTAACCAAACTGCAGTGTGGTTGAAACAACCTCACAGAGTCGACGGTTGGGAGTAGGGACAACAAGGAGTTGAATATTAGCATGGAGAGGGAGGGGTGTGTGAATTGTCCACGACAGACACAAACCCGGGCGGAGGGGGAGGGGTTACCGAGGAGGAGGAGGAGTCAGTGGAACAACAGCCTGAAAAATTGTCTGCAAACTTTACAGACACTGGTTTCAATGTAGTTTGTAGGTTATGACTCAAAGTAATGATGGTGTGCTTGAATTGTCTTGTCTGTGATTAAGTACTCAACACTTGAGTGACCTTTGGGTCATGTGGGATTTGCTTAATGATGATTTTTTTTTAAAAGACACGTGAGACGAAGAAATAGTCCAACCCAAGGAGAATACTATTTTCTTTTTTCTATTGATAAACAAGAAATAATTAATTAATTAATTAATTAAAAAAAATATATATGTATNGACACGTGAGACGAAGAAATAGTCCAACCCAAGGAGAATACTATTTTCTTTTTTCTATTGATAAACAAGAAAAAATTAATTAAATAATTAATTAAAAAAAATATATATGTATGTATATATATATATATATATATATATAAAAATATATATATATATATAAATATATACACACTATGATTTAATGGATTCTCACAGTAAGACAAGAAGTGATCCTGTATTCTCAGCATCCTTAATGTCAAATGCATTACATTTATGAACAACATATGATCTGTAGTTTTTAGCTGTCTTCTGACATTATACAACATTATACAGGTCAGCCATTTTGTTGACTCATGTGTATGAAACATGTAGTTTTCCAGCAGGCCAGCAGAGGGCGAGTTATGGAGATGTTCTGATCATATGCGTTAGTATGTTTGTGCCTGTCCACAAGGAATAGCCTAAACCTTTGCACTTTCTGTAGTCTGTGTCATCATTGCTAGTCTCCTTGCAGGTTGTATGGTCATACAACAAAATCCATGTGATCAGGAGTGGGAGTTGCTAGGGTAGCTGTGCTCTCCCTTGTCCTGTTTTTTTCTCCCTCTCTCATACACTCTCGCTCACATCAGACAATGTGTGAGGTGCTAGTCTAACAGAAGCTTGAGTATCTTTTGTCACCTACATGTGTGAACAAATCCAGCTAGGATACTCTGTAATGTAGTGCCTGTATGGAATCAATGGCATGGACATTTTTCAATATGACAGAGCTCTTGGAGATCACAGGCAGCACACAAAGCGAGATTATTACATGAAACAGCCTGAAGATCAATAATACAGCTGGAGCTGCTCCGTGATTCACTTTTCAGAATTGCCAGTAAATGATGAAAAACAAATAAATAAACACATTTGTTGCAATGGTTCACGAGGAATTCGTACAAAGGTTTTTTCACGAAAACTTTATAAATCCGCAAGTAATTACAATAATTAGAAATTTATTGCTTAATCAAATACTTTTGAACATTTTTATCTCTATTTTTGCAGGACTTCTGCAGTCTCAAATGAGCTACGTAAACGGCTTGATTTTGTTTGTTTTTGCATTTTTCCTCTTATTGCATATTTCAAAGAAGAGATTAACAGGAAAAACAGGGTGACATTCAAAAACTCCAATGCTGCCATATTTTTTATTATTATCCAATTTATTACAGGTTTTAAGATGGTTAACAAACCATGTTATATTTAAACATTTACTTTGTAAGGTTTCACTGGTAAAACATATAGTCTCGGAAGCCGCTACTTTTGTTAGTGTTCACATGTAAACTGTATTGAGCACATGTTTCTTGCTCTATGAACAACTGTGTCACGAAAAAGAAGCAACATAAAAATATCTTCTCCAAACTGAAGGATGTCACACAGGTACAACCCACAGAATCCATGACTGTATTTCTGGAGCACAGACAACACGACCTTGCAAGGCCCTACATGCAGGAGGCAAGTTGCGCTCATACAATCCAACACAACTCATGTGAGACAACTTAGTTGAGACAATATAATCACCAATCAATGTGAAACAGTGCTGTGTACAACACTGTGTAATTTGAGGACGGTAGCGTGTGTACCAGACATAAAACAACCTAATTTCCTCAGTCTAAGTTAAACCTCACATCTGTTAAACAAACTAGATACTACAGTTGATGGCCAACTGACCAAATGACCAAATATGAACTATTCTGTATTTCATATGTAAATAATATGTGTAAATGATATTGTTATACAATTGGAATATGAGCTGAGCTTTTTTCTGATCAAAATCTTGGTACTGGCAGTTTTTGCTTATGGAAGGAGAGAGAAAAGCCAGAAGTGAAGAAGAACAAGGAAAAATCACACTTAAAAGTTAGCCATGCTGAACAGCAAGTAGACAGCCAACAGACGGACTGCCTTTAACCTCTATTCAACATGATGACTCAGCCTAAAGGCCGCTGATAAGGGCAGACTAGTGCTAACAAAGGTAGTCACAACTCAAACTACAGGTGACCACGGACACTCAACAACAGTGCAATGCTGATGGATACTGCTATGGCGTGTCAGTGAGTTCCCCACCAGGACAGCTGAGGGCGCAACAGTGCAAAATAACCAAATGGACAATAATAATGTGATGATAGTGACAGCGAGGGCCAGCGCACAACTCCAGTGGACAGCCATAATATAGCTGTAGAAAAGTGAGAGGCGAGCACAGTTGTATTACAACAAGCAAATATACCAGTGACATCAGCTCTGTCCGTTAACGTGCTCATTGACTGCATGTAGTTTGTTTTAAGTTCATTTACAGTTTTGTCTTTGAGCACATTTCTGTTCAGCAAGATTTAAAAAAAATAATATCAATCTCAATAAAGAGCAACTCAATTTTGGATTCATCACATTAACGGTCCTCTGAAAAGTGTAATGCTTCTCTAAATTAAATCAAACTTGCTTCCGAGTTAACATTTCTACAGGCCAAAAGACAAATCCACGATCAAATGGATATACATAAAAAAAATGTCTGTAAAAGCCTTCTGTCATAAACATTGAGAAATTTGTTCATTGTTATTTTTACTGCTATAAGTATTTTTATTTTGGTCTTAGTATTCATTATGATTTGATATAATCAACTGTCTCCAGTGAGTCTAGGGACTTTGGTCTTTGTCGTGTCTGAAAAATTGACTGTATCAGTTTCTGGAATTGACTTGGACTTATATGGTCATAAAAGACCATGTGATGCTTTAATTATCATTATCACATCAGTTGTATTGAGAAATAAATCAAAGGCGCAATAAAACAAATAAAGAAATACAGTTGGGAAAAGTATTACAAATGACCATATAAGGGAGAAGAAATGTGTGCCGACGTAAATTAAAGAAATAATGTAAATTAAAGAACAGTATTAAAAATTGCATGGAGTAACTGCAGCTAGAAGAATGACTCATGATTTAATTTTCAATTTTTTTAATTGTCTAACATTAAAACCTATTACACATATTGTCATGATTAATATTGTATGCCTAATCATGATGTACAGTGTCTGTCAAATTTCTTTCATGTGATGATGTGATGCACTATGTGAGACTTCAATAAAGACCTTAACACTAGCTGAAATGGTAATAGATAAAAAATGCTCAAATGTACTTGGTTTAGTGACATCTAGAGGTGGTGGTGGGCATTTTATTTTGTTTTCTGTATGAGTGTGACTTCCTGTAGCACCAACCTGACACCAAAAATAACCTACGTTTGCAAATTGTTGCAAGCTGAATATACACCTGCTTCTCAAAACTGGGTTGTTTGGATGAGATCTATGTGTTATTCATTAGTAAAAGCTTCTCGATAGCAGAATGTTTTTGCAGAACTATGTTGTGAAAAATGAGATGTACAAGTTTAAAAAAAACAGCTACTTTCTCCAAGTGTTCCTCTTCCTGTCTTCTTCTTTCTCAGCCACAACGAAAACAGGTTAACCACTCTGTGAAAGAATGACTCAATTACAATACAACAACATTCAGAGGATTTTGTTTTTCTTATATCCTCGTAAGTGCTGAGGCTAAGAAATAAAATGTTTGTCCTGGAGGCCTAGGGGTGACATTACAGGAAAGACGAACAGGTTTTTTAAAATAACAAAAAGTGTGTCCCCTTGGAGGCGTAAGGTGGTGCAAGGCTCATAAACTGGATATGATTCATCCTCTGGGGCGCATGAATATGGTCACTATATTTCGTGTCAATCTGCTCATTGGCAGTCTGTCTGCTGGCTGTTCGGCCTGGCTAGTTTTTGAGTGCGATTATCTCCATTATCACTACCGGAGGAAAATTTTGTGACTCAGACATAACCCTGTACACTTTAATGTATACACACAAACCAATTAAAATACCAGTGACTCAGTATCCTATAATTTTGGTTTTGGTTTGAATAGGACATGCTAAGCCTGTTCACATTTGAACTCATTCATGATGAGACCTAATGTTCCTGTTCTTCCTGACAAGGCAACACACACTTTATCAATCTGATCTTTAGGATGGTTTTGTAATGACAACAACAAAAATAACAACAGTAATAATATGTGCAAGCAGCAGTGTGATCATTTGTGCTGCAAGAGGACAGAGATAAGTAAACCATGTTTCAAAGGAAATGTGAGGAAGTGACAATTAGAAACCAATACACACAAGCTGCCTGACTCAAGGTCAAAGAACAGTGGCAGTGTTTACTGTATAAACTCACAAAAAGATGTTTATAACTTGGATATTTCTGGTCTAATTACCAGCTTTTTATAAACCAAGTGAGAGCATATCCAACCAGTGAACTTCCTTTGTGTGCTTGATCGGTGGTACTAGATATTTACATATACTATATATTATAAATAAATAAATTACCTTAAAATTCTAAATTGTGGAATTAAAACTAACTTTATTTCTACTTAATTAAACCTGAAAAAGAAACAGATTGTAGGTTTTAGGCTACTTGCCTAAATTTAAAGTTGCTTGTTATGGTGCCACCATCTGACCAGTAAATGTAAATTTGAACCTTGTTCCTTACATTTGGTTGCTATTGGTTGCTGTAGCTCTTTGTAAATGAAAGATTGTCATAACCCAGAAAAAGAGAGAATACAATAAAAAATGTGCTTGCATGATTTATTTCCCAATTAATGAAATGGCAGGAACTATGACTGGCCTGTGTTCATTTTAACATCTTTCTGTGTCGTGTCTATGATGGAGAATATCTCCACTCACCACATCCTGATACAATTTACAAAACCTTCGGGAATGATGCATGTCATAGCTCTGTTTGGGCATTAAATCACATTAAGTAACATTTTCAAATATAGTCCGCATGCCACATTCAATATCTGACACTGCTTATTGGATTTTCACAAATCTCAAAGGAAAGACATCATAACTCACAATACACAGAACTTGTATTTAAGCTGTAGTATTCTTAAAGACCATCCTTTTCTCACAAGTGAAATATTAAATTTAAACATAATAATGTGAAATACATAACTGAAGCCATGATTATGAGAAAATGTCAATTCTTCCCATTGCAAAATAATCAATCAGTACCAAGCCCCCTTAATACTAGCAGAGAGAAAAAAAAATCTTTCATGGAGTTTTCATCCTCTTTTTAATGTTTGGACATCTGTGGCAAATTGAGGTTTCCCAGAAGGAGAATGTAGTGAGTAGTTGCAGCCTTCCCTTGCGCCCAAGAAAGCTGAGTATTCTGTTCTCTTCTTTATACATATAAACAACAGTTTGCTCTCTAAAAGATTCAGTTGAGGAAATCCTGTCATCGTCTGGGACCCTATCTTGTTCCGAGGAACTAATGGGTATCTTCTCATCCACCAAGGTGCCATATAATTATAGAGGTCTCTTATGCTCGCTAAATATTTGGCTTTTTTCTCCAACTACTTGTGGAAGTCTGTTCTGTCATTTCATGCTGCACACATAATTTAATATCAGCTGTGCTCACATGCTTGGAGCAACTGTCCACAGTTATATGGAGAATTGTTGAGAGGAATCAGATAGACCAGCAAAACTTGGGTGGTGACTCTCAGTGGGATCTTGATTTTAGCAAACCATTTCACATTTACTTCACAGTGTGTACAGAATGTAAAAGACTAGTGTGAGTATTAAGCGCCAAAAATTTCCGTAAGTACCCAGAGATCTTCATCAGGCATCATCAACTGGACAAAACCTGGAGATTTGGACATTGTTGACTGACACTGCCCTCAGTGTTAACGGAGCTTTTAAGACCAAAGGGAGGCAATTCCAGAGTTCAGTCCCCTCCTGAATTACCCTTAATTTAAGCATATCCAATAGTTAGTGCACTGCACATTTTAGACCTCAGACAAACAAGCATTGTTCCTTAAATCTTAAACCAAATCCAGGATCCAAGTCCTATGAGTAAATACTAGGCCACAGATGTCAGACCTCTGGTATTAGGCCTCCGGCATCAGGAATTAGTCCTCATGCCAATAGGTGTCAGAAATAAGAAGAAATGTTACCAAGCTAAATTGTAAGATTAAACCGTCTACGTGAGGAAATGGCCTCAGGCATTACAGAATGAACCGACTACCTGTAGCTCCCATCCCTCCAGGGAACTTGTCTTCCATTTGGCATTTTTCCAGTCTTGGCATCCACCTTTAAAAGTAAATAGATAAAAATAAGTTGTAGTTTACAGTTGTAAAGCAGGCAATATAGACTATTATTGTCACATATTTACAGCATTCAGCAATAAGGCACCAGTTTTAACTATTGCGAGTTTCTCATGCATAAACACTCATGGGTAGCTAAGTTGCAATTAGCTGGAAGAAGACAAATGGTCACTCCAAAAGGCTCACATGTTGTGTAATACATGTTAACATCAGTTATAAGCCAACAATTTTCCAGGTAGTTCTTGTAGGTGAAAATGAAAAGGCAGCTGCAGTATTTGAACAATGTTAGCTAAGTTAGTTAACGCTAACAGGCATCCAAGCCTGAGACCTGACACCTGAGGTGTAATGTCAAATGTTTTAACGACATAAAGAAATTTGATTAAAAGACTGATCTTGTTTTGTCTTATGTCTGAGAAGCGATGCTGAGAAATGATGCTCAACAATGTGTGCCCTGTATGGAAGACCCAAACTGAAAAGACACTGCAACCACCACAACATTAAAAGATGTTATAATGCTTTGTGTTAAAGGTTTCCTGTGTATTCCATTTTTGCGGTAAACTGACAAGACACAATGATGACTGTTGAGTGTTTGTAAAATCTTAAAGAATATTATATACATTGGAATACCTGCAATATAATGTTCAATTTTTGTTGAAACTCCTAGAGAGGTGTGATTCGAATGTATGATAAATTTAAAGGAATTAGTTTGTGGTGATGTTGAATTGTATTGTGTTATACTGACAGGTGTTTCCATTATTTTGTCCACCTCATTTATATCACTGAGGGTGGGCCAAATAATGCAGTACTGTTCAAATGCACTACAAACTACATCCTTCAAAATAATCATATAGCTGAAACTTATTTGGAGACAAATGTAATGGACCTAAAATAGAACCTTGTGGCACACCACAAGATTGAGTAACAGTTGACACAAAGGTAACAACAGATACAAACATTCGCTCAAACAGGTGAAAACCTCACCGGAGGACTTCCAAAAATACTCCCCCACTGGTGACTTTTTTTTTAAAGATGGCAACAGCAAAGATAGACTGGAAAGTCAGTGGAGAGCGAGAGGGAATGACATGCAGCAAAGAGCCCAGGCCAGACTCTAACCCGGGTTGCTGCGGTAAGGAGTCAGACTTGGCACATGATACCTGGTGAGCTACCAGGGTGCCCCTTAACTTGAGTGGATCTTTACAAGGAAGTTTTTGTATCCAGGCAACTGTGAGCTACACAGCCACCAGTGGTCAAGAACCAGTCAATATGTTTTAAGAATAAGCCCACACAAGCAGTTGATGATGGATATCTGCACCATACCTGCCCTTTTCTGGTCTGGCATTCCCACTGACCTCTACAGAATAGCCTTACAGGTGGTATGTCTGCAACTCATACAAACAGGAAATTAATCATATTCCTTGACACCAATTGGTAACTCCAACGTTTGCAAAGGGTTGTGTTTTTACTGTAACAAGCTTAGCATACAATATGGGTGATGAGTGATTTCCCCCAAAAATTCCCTTAAATTTGCTTGTCATCATTATTCATGGTATACCTGCAGTGATGTAAATATTTAAAATCTATGCGGCAGTTCCAAAACTGTGACTAATAATAATGATAGAAAAAATATCACAAATATTGATTTGAGCATTTTGAGGGTATGATATAAATATTTGTGTAAATGATTATTGAGACATTCATGAAAAAAGCAATTTCAAAAAACATGGAAATGTGCTTTATTAAATAAAGAATAAATTACAATAATAATAATAAGACATTAATGTATAAATAATACAACACTAGAAATTATCTCTCAATGTGTCACAGCAACTTTGAGAAAAGTGGTTATTAAATAGATTTACAAGGTGAAGTTATACTGATTCAAAGGAATGAGTGATAGGTGGACAGTGGGCCGTCACTTTAGTTACAGGAGTTAAGACAGCAGCGTTTTACTTCATGATATAGCAATTTAATGTACACATCACACACTCAGAAATAGCTGATAAGTTGATTTAAAGTTGCAGTGATGTGTGAACTTCTGTAAACGAATGGGCAATATGGATACAAGCATGCACACACAAACACTTTCAAATTTCTGCTTGAAAACCTTTGACTGCACTAAAATCACAGATGACTATTATCATTTGTTGCAGACATCACACTTCATATCAAAATCGCAAAAATGTGTATGTTTGTATAAAATGATGATTCAACTTAAAACAAAAATATTGATAGCTTTTCAAAGATTGATTTACTTGTGGTTTTGGCATCTTTGTGCTCTACTGCAGACAGTACATGGTAGAACAGTAGGAATGTTTACAACTTAATAAATGTATTGATTTTAAATAATTACACCCACCCACTGACTGCATACTATGGGGTTAAAGCTTGAAGCTTCTTGTAAACCTGATCTGGAGAGATATACTGTATTAGTTATCACTGACAGCAGTGGAGGATCCAAACTCTGTAAACTTCATCAGGAAATGAGACTGGATTTGATATGAAAAAACTGACAGTTGGAGTGTCAGCTTAGGACACAAAGCAGTAAAGCAGTAAAGCAACAGAACAACTCAACAGTGGTCAAGAACCAGTCAATATGTTTTAAGAATAAGAAATAGGTACTTGGACCAACATCCAAGTACCTATTTCTTGTTCTGTTGAGTTACTGCTTTTACATGGCAGAGTGCTGCCACCAAGTGGTGAACAAGAGGAATTCAATTTTAAAATAGCAACACAAAAACAAGCAAAATACTGTCCTCATCTCTGGGTCAGATCACTGTTACGTTCACCAATACTCTGCATGGCACATGACATCAAACTATAAATAATATAAAACAGTTTTTAGTTTTCAGTTCAGACTTGTTGTTATTCGACTTGTTGCACAGGTATACCACTTACCACCAGTGGATGGAATTTTTTTTGTTTGGGGGGGGGGGGGGGGGGCAGAAAATACACTTCTCATGGTGAGTGGATACAATTAGGATGAAAATGCATTAAATCAACCAAGCCTACCAAATAAAAAACAAAAACAAAACAAACAAAAAAAAACTTGAGCAAAGACTAGTGATTTTCACTTACTGATTTACACCATATGACTTACTTCTGTTGAGTGAGCTTGTAAATTAAATTTGATTTTTCATGACATTTGCCATGTTAATCTATTATTTCTATAAAGTAATACATTTTAAATTAAACTTTGCAGGCTTTTAGATTTGCATTAAAATTGGGTGCATGTTGTCAATTTAAGTGGCAGAATAGGTCACAAGTCCATCTGGCTCCAGAAAAAAACATAATATTTAATAATAATAAAACCACTCATTGGTTGTATAATTGCACTCCATTGTCACTGTAAGAACACAGTCAGCCAATGCAGGTGAGCACAGCACAAATGCACACAAATGACAGCTCCCCTTTCCTCTCTACCCACTGTGGTGTAACAACATATGCTGAGCCGTACTGTCGCAAACTGTTCATTTAGTTTTTTGCTCTATTACGGTGATTAATAGAATCACAGAATCTGGGATATGCACAGTCATGCGCCCAGAGGACTCTTTAATTACACACACATTGTCGCCCACCGAATTGCATTTCATATGTGACTGATGTTGCAGCTGTCTCTGATCTTAGTATGCAGGTCTGCACACGTTACCTATTTCAAAATGGTAAATCAAACTCAAACAGAGCGAGGGAACTTTGATTAAACAAATTTGTAATGTTTGTTAAGCCCTCCTGACAGTAAAGCCACAGGGAGTCTTTCTTCAAATGAACAGTTACTGAAGAGAATTTTAAAAAAGCAATTTGTACAGAGTCAACTACAGAGCTGGCTCATGCATCACTACTACAAAGGAATTATGATTTTTATATTGAGAGCAAATAATTTCCTTTGTCTGAATTCAGACATTGGTTGCTACACAACACTAAAACTTTAAAATAATCCTCTTATACACATTATAACATGGCACTTTCTAAGCTCATACTACCCGGACAATGATAAATGACAAGGCATTGGCAGTAGATAAAATGTTACTTTTATAATGGCACTAAGTCTCTGGGTAGGACTGTCCTTTCATCCAAATATTCAAAGGAGTTACTCTGAAATGGGACTAGAGGGGTTTGATATGTGTATGTGTCAGGATGATGTGGGGAAGAATGTGGATTAAACAATCGGTGAAATTTAGAATCACAAAAAAAACAAAAAAACACCAATTTTTACAGATTTAAATGTTTTCCAAGCATGCAGCGATGCTGTGGTGACTGATTATAATATTCTGTAGATTCATCTATCAGCTTCATTGCACTGTTTTCACTCTTACTTTATCTGAACTCCTCCCCTGACTGACTGACTGACTGACTGACTACAGGTTGCTTTCTTGGGTGTCGTTGGAGGATATGGGGTGTAGGCCTCCATTCTCGTTCAGTCTCTTGGCACGGTAAGTTTCATAGTGAATGTTATGAGTGACCTCCTTCAAATCCTGGAGGTGAGACCTAAGAAAGAGGGATACAGGAACACAGACGGGACATGATACTAGTCATGTATTTAGAGTTTTGTTATGTTTCTGGTTTACTTTAATGCAGTGCTAGAATCCTACCCACTGCAAAAGAATAACTGGACCCAGGAAGTAATATGAACCAATAGGATAGAGAGTAACATTTTTAAATACTTTCTTACCAGCACACAATTAAAATGTTTAAATAATAAGTCAATTAATGGATTAATTAATTGGTTGATTGACAGAAAATTAACTGGCAGCAATTTTGGTTTTAAAAAGGTCACTTTGGGCATTGGAAAAAAATTCATGATTACCCCAGAATAAAAAAGATAATTGATTATTTGACAAAAATAACCATCAGCTACAGCTCTATTATCTTTCACCCCATGTTTCACCTAATTATTACAATACCATTACGCAGAAAAAGTTTCCCAATATGTCAAATCCCATTATTTATAATTGCTCCTAAATTCTAGTTTATTGCATTGCTTTGATATTTAAAACACTGCTTTACCTGATCAGGAAATCTCTCAGTTGAGCAAACTCACAATGGTTGGGATTTTCAACTGCAACAAAAAGAAGAGAATAAAATGCTAAAATCTTGTATTTCAAATCCTTTATCTAAGACTATCAATACCTTGTCTGTGAAAAAGAGTCAAAGAGAGTAAATGTTACTTTCTAGGAAAGGCCATATCACCCACCTTCTACGATTCCCCATGCTGTCTTCCTCCCCAGAACTCGTTTGCCATTCACTTGATATTCTTTGTCACTGCCCACCACAGCAAAGGGCATCGCCTCCTATGGACAGACATTTCAACACGGTTCAGTGTACTGAAGAGAGCGACACAAGGCTTATGAGATGAAAAAAATACACAACATGCCCCAGTGCCCTGACATTCTGCTCAGAGGAAGCAGTGCATGAGGATGAGAGAGAGGGTGGGCCAGGGTGGGTGGAGAGGAGGGGTGGCAGAGACTCATTCTCTTGAGGAGGAGGAAAATCATCAGGGTAAAATGTGTAAGAGAGAAAGAACGGGACCACTTACTCTGATCTTGTCATTGTCACTTTTGTCCTCCATGTCCTCATCAAACTCTTTTTGCGGGTAAAACTCAATCCCGCCCATCTCCAGCTCCTTTCTTACCTACAGCACAACATAAAGCCAGGAGACAAATAAAAAACTCTTTATGTGACACAGCTTTATCTGAGCCCTGTCTTTAAATCACATATACACATAACATAAGCAAACATTTTTAATAAGGATCCTTTAAATTATGTTTTTTAAGCCAGCATGAGTTGATTTTTTGGCCACTTGGGGGCAGAAGAAACAAGCTGTAAACAACGCTGACATATTACCACCTTGTGCGCTAATAATGCATATGATGAACTGTAGCTTATTTACACACCCAGCAGATACAGAGCAACATTAGAATTCATTTGGATCCATGTTTCTGGCCACCTGACAATTAAGTGACTCCAACATTCACTCTCCTTTGGTATCTGTTTTAGTCTTGACCAGTTCCTTTTTGTTGGTGAACACATGCTGGATATGGAAACACTGATGAGAGCAATGTGACTGAACCAAAACAATAAACTCAAGGAATGTAAAACCAAAATAATTAGTTAACAGATGCTAAAACAGTCTGTAGAGGGGAGGGGGAACTATAGAGATGTGTGATAATTCTCTGTAGCTACCCATTTCACATCACATGCAGTCATTTTATTCAGAGTTAGTATAAAGTATTGATTCAAATATTGATTAGAGCAGCTTCAAAGACCAAGATATGTACTGACACATTTTCTAAATTACCTCAAACATTTCTGTTGTTTCTGAACTGACTTTTCTTGTTTAAATGTCAGCTGACATTTAATCTGATACCAATTCCTCTGCAATAAGCTGATTATCATCTAGCTTTAGTGGGATGATCTGGGGCTCTTCGGTGAAACTCACCCGCTGTTTGAATTCCTGCCTCTCCTCAATGGTCATCGTGTCTGCTTTGGCAATGACAGGAATAATGTTGACCGAGTGACTCAAGCGCTTCATGAACTCGGTGTCTAGCTGCCGAAGTCTGAGAGAGAAAGAAAACAGAGAAGACAAAGAAAGGAAATGAGTTAGTAGGCAGATTTAGGAGCTGTGATTCTCCCAGAGAGCTTGTTTGCAAGATAACAAATAGCAGAGGGAGGAACTGGGATTTTATTTGTCATGTATAATACATCTCATTACCTTTCCCTGGTCTTGTAGCAATTATAAAAGATCTACAGTGTGAATGCTTTTGAAAAGTGGGCTTAAAACTGGACAAAGTTTGTGTCCCAGTTCTTGTTTGCCTGCACACAAAACATCCTGTCGGTCTCAATTACCCTGGCTAAGAAGAATGGGATACACTGGCTGTAACAAAAGACTGTATCCATTTATCCATTTAAGAGCAATTTCACAGTTGTCAACTGGAGCTAATTGTGAGGTGTTCGGAGAGGAGGCAGAGGTGTGTGTTGTCTACAATATAAAGTAGCACAATTGATGGAGCGCTTTGTTAAAGTGAAATGAAATGTTTTTTGGATAAATGAACATTAGCACTGTGGGTGAGTGTATGAATACTGTCCTCTTCAAGCTTGCCTTCAGATTACTAAAAACACATGGTCTGACTGATTACTTTACTAATCTCTACATCTGATAACATTTAACTCACGAGTGTCCGGTTGGGGAGATGAAATAGAGACAGCAGTGCACCCTGGTGTCAGGGATGCGCTTCTTTCTGGTGATGTTGACCTCTTCCTTTAGGAACTTCTCATACTGCTCATTGATGTACTTGGAAATGGGTTCCCAGCTTCAGAAACAAGAGAAGAGGTCAGCTTGGGGGAACAAAGATTACTCGAGACAGAAAAGAGTAGGATACGTAGAAGAACAGTTTTCTCAACAAGGACCATTTTCATTGTAGCTTTGGGGAATTAAATGCTCGGCAGCACTCCTGAACTAAAAATACAGTTTTGTAAGTTGACAACAGAAAAGTAGCTATTGGTTAAATAAGGCAGCAATGATGATATTTACGAGAATTTAATGATCCAGGAGTTGGAAAACTCACCAGTTGTCGTTATTGATTTGGTCTCCAAAGCCTGGAGTGTCAACGACTGTCAGCTTCATCTTCACACCACCCTCCTCAATGACTGTAAAAAAGATATGCATATCTGAATATTCAACATATTAAACAAATGTTTACGTCTGGAATTTTCAGAGAAGCGGCTGTTGAGATAGAAACACAGCAAATATTATATAAATGATCTGAACAAGATTTTTTTGATGCAGCACTTCTGCTGTGTCTCTCTCTAACTGGAAAGGGCATATTAATGTCAGGTCACTGTCGACCGCAGGCAATGTGTGCATGATCATGTAAACTGTAGCAACCAAACACTGAGCCCAGTCCATGGGTTTGACATATCACCACTGTTTCCCCAGTGCCGATAAACCATCAAGGACATATGTAAATGCCAGTTCAGTCAGTTTATCAGTCCCACATGCCTTGATGAGCATAGCACTGCGCTCTACATACTGAGGAGTCACCAACTGATTTTTTAAATTCCGCACATAGCTGTCTGATTTGATACTAACACTGGGGGTGGGGCACCACAGTCAGACATTTTTAAACACTATACACACTGGCTTTAAATGGGGACACTTTGCTATGATCTGGCTAAATTTGGACTTTTCAAACAGAAATCACAGCTGATCGCAGCTCAGGAAAACTCAGTGATGAATGAAACAATTCTAATACCTCACCCTACATTGTTGTCAACAAACCACAAATGGAGCTATGATTACCTCTTTGTGTCATTTGTCAGCAGGGTTCATTGTTGTTACCATGGAAACACACCATTTCTTCCTGACATTGTCTCATCTTATGGCAGCAAAGTTTTTAGGCTTCAAATTACGTAATCTTCAACATTATGCAACCGCCTAACTCGTAGCAAGATAGACAAACTAAGAATGCCTAAATCCATAGACCAGTCTCTCATTTATTTGTGGAACATGTCTCTGGTTTTAGCAGAATGGAGATAAGAGACTTTGTTTCTTTTTTTTTTTTTACCAACTGTAAAATTTGCGTGTATCATTTGAGATGTCGTCTTATAATGGAAATGTAAGAGACAAACATAGCCTGGCTGGATTAGCTAAAGTCTCCACTCTGAGAAAGTGATAAAAAAAAAATCTGCAAGATGATTGCGTGAGACAGAAGAGACCATTTCATAAGCTCAGGCAGTTAAACCAGTTCTGATGCACCTACAGTATACAGTACATGCGGTGTAGTCTCGAGATCAACAAATTTGCACAAGCCTTGTTTGAAAGCAAAATGCCTTCTCTCCATTATGAAAATCCCCACAGTAAAGGACATTACTGCCAGCACAGATTAATTTGCGTCGAGTAAAGCTGTCAGCGATCCAGTGAGAATCTGTAGGTCCAAGAACAATCTGTACTGACTGATGACTAAATACCATTTGTCATGAAGTAGTCAGAGTTTCAGTCATGAAGGAGAAGTAGAAATAAGGTCAAGCTATTTATTACTGAACGTTAGCATTCATAATTTCACTCAACAAAATGCTATACACCACAGCTGATGCAGAAATATGGTTCTGCAAGAAAATCATTATTTATCATTATATACTTAAAGCTTCATTAATTGTTCTGAGAAATGTAACACATGACCACTGACATGTTATATTTAGGCACATGAGGCATTATATAAAAGCTGATAATGAAAAATCTTGACAACACTTGGCAAACCTGAAGCCTCCCTAATGAAGTTTATGGTGACAGCCAGGCCTTAAAGCATAGGTTCACAATTGTCTTTTCTGTCTTAAAACAATCGTCAGGTGCCCATATTCCTTTTGCTTGCTGTAATTGTTCCTCCTATTCATACTGGCCATTAAGTGATTTCCAAATGTGATTTCAATGTAGTCTTAGTAACAGCATGGCAGCAGTACAGAAATGTTCCCTTCTAAAGTTTTTGAGCGAGCCTCAGCCTTCTAACCAATCAGAGATGGCAAAAGTCAGGGGTGGGAGCTAACAGTTGTCAATCAATAGATGAACATGCTTCTGGTTCCACTACTCCTCTGGCACTGAGCCTTTAAGCTAGTATTAGCCACTGGAAGACGTCACTATGGCTGACTCAAAAGACTGGCAAGCTCCTGACTCATTAGCTGAGACGGCGAACATGACGAGGATGTAGGTGAAGTCCTGGGCAGACTAACTATTTGCCAGACTGGAAAAACTGTGAACTTATCCTTTAATATTCTGCATCATTTTTCCCGTTGTCAGTCTGTCAGTTACTAGTTCTTCCTGTCACTTGAGAACCTCATATTTCCCTTGTCTTGCAGTAGTCTTTAGTGTCTCCCATCATTCAGCACCACCTGACCGCCACGTCCACCTGCACAGCTGTTACCAATCTCCTAATCAGCTCCCAACATATATATACATGCGCCCCTTAGCCCCAGTTCCCTGTCAGATTGTCTATTGTGTGTTCTGCCTTACTGGGAGAGTGTTCCTGTTACCCTTTCCTGCCAGCTTGTCATGACCTCTCACTTACTTTTTTTTAACCATTTGCCTCCCTGCATTTCCCTTTTTTTTTATTTGGTCGCCTGTCCTGACTGATTGTCTTTTAGCAAACTCTGTTTTGTACCATGGACACAGTGAACTTTGCCTGCAAACACAGAACGCTTCAACTTACACTGGCACATTTACACTGCATCCGACAATTGTGTAAAAAAAAAAAAGAAGACCCAGATCAACACCAAAAAAAAGTGATCTGCCCACAAAATTTCTGCTTTATACATTTATTATATTTTTTGGATATTTTGAAAACAGACAGGGCAAAGTAGACAATCACAGTAAACGAATGATGTGCATGTCATACAAAGTCCCTACAGGAGATGCAGAAGCTGGCAATGTGCATTTGTAACTCAGCTGAAAATAAATGGCAAGGTTTCTTGGCAGCTACCAGGGTGCACTGATGTACTGTAAGTAGGCTATGTAGGACTGAGAACATGGTCAAAGATCGTCAATTTTCTCTGTCAAATTAAATGCTACTATAAATATCTGACCCTAAAGAAAGAACAGGATCTCTCTCTCTCTCTCTCTCTCTCTCTCTCTCTCTCTCTCTCTCTACTCACCATGAGACACTGCTTTGATCTCCACAGTTTTGGGGATCTTCTCATCGCGGGCCCATCCTGCGCTCCTCCTGCTCACTTGGGACTTGAATAAGGTGTTCACAAGAGTCGACTTTCCCAAACCGCTGTTACCTGCGGGGAGAAGGAGGGGAAGCAATTGTGAGAGAAAATGAGAAGTGTCCAGCTGTGCAGGAAAAAAATAATTTCTTTTCACCAAGAAGAAAATCCACAGGCAAATCCTGCTGTGACTTACCGACTACCATGATATTGAAATCAAAGCCAGTCTTCATGGTTTTCTTCCTCATCTGCTCAATGATGGTGTCAATACCAATGTACCCCAGCAGAGTGGATCCTCCGCTGGAGCTGTGGGAGCCGCCATGACCATGACCTCCGCTGTGTGCTGTAGCATGGCCCCCACCATGGCCCGCACCGTGGCCCACACCATGACCAATACCGTGATTGGCAGCGAAGCCCGGGCCGTGACTCCCGATTGGGACTGGAATGGCACTCGGAGGAGGGGCGGAGACGCCACCGCTGCCTGCTCCACCGCCTGGCCCCTGGGGTGGAAAGGGGCTGGAGGGGGAAGGAGCCCCTACATTTGGGGGCTTGGCAGGGACAACTGGTTTGGGTCTCACTTCTGGAGGAACTACGTCTGACATGTCTACAAATGAGACAGCGAGGAGGGTAATAAGACAATTTCAACAGAAAACATTGCTACATGAGGAAGAAGTAGGCCAGTAGAGCAGCTGCGGTTTCTTCTCCCATTCCTTTTTCTACATTGAGGAATTGGGTTGTTGCAATAGGCTGGTTCACCTAAATGACTAAAATATATATTTCCTCACATGCCCCGGTTGTTTCTAAACACAGATGTTGCTGTTGAATTCTATAAATATAACTGGAGAGTAGACTGGTGTAGATACTGACCGTATTAATCTAATCTGGTATTGGCCAGATCTTTGTCTAGATCTAGAGCTATAGACCTACATTAAAGACAGTTTCTTCATCAATGTTACTGTAAAATATCTGCTTCTAATGGTACTCAGTATCGGCAGAGTTTAAGAGTCAGCACGGGTCGGTTTGGGTCTTCCCTAAATGTAACTTTTTAACGCTGTAAGCACTAGAGCTGCAACAATTAGTTGATTAATTGATTAATCAATCAACAGAAAATTCATCAGCAACTATTCTGATAATCAGTTCATCATTTTGAAAAAACTTGAGCAAAAAAATCCAACACTATTTGCGTGACCTCTGACTCCACTACAGGTGAGCCCTTCAAGTGAAGCAAACAGTACAGGCAGATGGCAACAGACAGGAGGCTGAGCCAAGATGTCGTAAACCTAAGCCCTCCAGGGCGTACACATGGAGCAGCCTGCTGCCATGCTTTAAGTCAGCGCAGCCACCGTCGTAGATACAGATCATACAGGTCACTGAGGCAGTGGCTGTCACTTTGATTCACAACACTCAGTGGTCATGCAGCTCTGCTCCCCTCTCTGCCTCAGGAGCGGGGGGGCTGGGTCAGAAAGGGTGGCCAGCAGTGGCACTACCACAAAACAACCACAAAGATACACAAAATGACCACAAAAGGACAACTTAGTGTAAAACAAGTTAGCTGCTTTGTGTCTCATTCAGTTTGGAGTCTTAACACTAGAGCTGCAACGGTTAGACAATTATTCGACTGAAAGACAGTTAATCAGCAGCTACTTTGATAATTGATTAATCATTTATCAAACAGAAATGTCTAACATTGGACTGTTAGTTGGACAAACATTTAAAGAATCCCCATGTGCTCCAGGATGTTATGATGGACAATCTCCAACATTTGCTATGTTATAGACCAAATTATTAATTGATTGGGTAAATAATCTGCATATTAATAGATAATGACAATAACAATTAGTTGCAGCCCTACTTGACACATTTATACTAATTTTTACAAATGCACCCCTCCTTTAAATCTGTACACCAGTTAGGCCTCCCTTATTCAAAAGTTTCTAACCCTGCCTCACACGTACAGTAGCTACATTCACAGATCAACAGATTTGCAGAATTATTTCAGCATTAATTTGGAGCTACATACTGCAGACAAATCACACTTGAAGGCTGGAATATGCAGTAGCTGCTGATGCTCTGGTGACATGAAGGCTGCGACCTGTTTCCCTGATAAAAGATGCTTATACGAGTCAAACGCAGCTTTTGTCTCTTTTATTACAAAACAAGAGGTTGGCTCCATCACTGCCTGTCGACCCCATTGTCTCTCTCCAGCCATGCTGGATAACAGCAGCTAGCGGCAGCTCCGTGTTAGCTGCTAGCTACGGTGGGCTCGGCTCGGCGGCGCAGACTAGTGTCTCACTTACCGAGTCCCGTTCAACCGACCGTCAATCTGCTCGAGGAGAGGACGGGCTCCTTGATCACTGACTGATCTAATGTCGCTCCCGGTCCAGCAACAAACGATATGTATCCACCACAGAGATAACAAGGAGCGGTCATGTGATGAGTCTGGGTACCTCTCCTCTGTCCTCCCCTCCGGCCGTTACCCCCCCCCTTCTCCGTTACCATGGCGACAAGAGGAGAGGGAGTGGGGAGATGCAGCGCGCACGCGCAGTGCAACATTACCTCAAAGGGACATTTTTTTGGTACAGTGAGTGATACAGACTATTTATAGTGAATGCTTTGGATTGTATTATAATTAGGTAAAACAACTCCAGTTTGATCTGGATCCATTGTTCACTATTCAAAGTTCTCTGATATGGTCAGAAGTTGTACTGAGATCTTTCCCTGAAGCAGTGTGGAATAAGCAGGCCTATTCAGATCCTTTACTGAAGTAGAAGCTTAAAATAATAATAATTTCAATCCTGCTTCGCTTATAAGTGTAGTCATAGAAGAAGTTTTTTTTCCTCAAGAAAAAGTACTAATACAACACTGTTAAAGTCCTCCACTGCAAGTAAAAGTCATTGAAAATCCTACTTCAGCAAAAGTCAGAAGTATTATCAGCTAAATAGACTCCTTCATGAAAGCTTATTTTACGTTTCATTTTATCATAAGGTCATTAATGTACCATTGCTTAAACAGCATTTTGCTGTTGTAGCTGGTCGAGGTGGAGCTAGTTTTAGTCACTTTGCACATTATTAGGTAGTTTCATTCAGTGGCTTACCTCCTTATCTATGGGGTTGGGAAAGCCCTCTGAGGGGTCTTGAGATTATTTATGGGGTAGAGAAGAAGTTCTGCTAGAAAGATCTCTATCCTTCTTTTGGACTTTTCTCAAATTGTTGCCTTTATTTGTGAAATATTTGAGAGTTTTACTTTTTGAGCCTCAAGTAACTGAGTAAAGTAACTGAAATGAAAGCATTTAAAGGAATTTAGAGTCAAGGGGAAATGTGAACAAATCATCAAAAATGTTTGCCACCACTGGTATAATATAGGAAATGTAAGGCATTTTATAAGCTTATTCTATGTTTTTTTTTAAATGTAAAATCTGAAAAGTAATTACTAACTACAGCAGTCAGATAAATAAATGTAATGGAGTAAAAAGTATAGTATTTCCCTCTGAAATGTATTGGAAATGAAATTGTAAAGCATCAAGTAGCATAAAATGAAAATACTCAAGTAAAGTAAAAGCAATTTAGAATTGTAGCTAAGAACAGTGCTTCAGTAAATGCTCTAAAATACATTTGACTGTGGTGAAATGTACTATAGTATAAAATCACCACAACAACGGTTCCCAACTAGGACCCACCTACAGGATAAACCTGAGGGGTTGCAAGATGATGATGGAAAAATATATGTCATATTTGTGCTATTTTCTGACTTTTTTTCCCCCCAATCTTCTCTTTTATATTGTGAACAGCCACTAAGCTTACATACAGGATTGGCAGATCCTGACAAGTGAACAAACCTCATCCCCTGACAAAAACTCTGACACAGTTGAAAGCACAAGAAAAAAAATGTCAAGCGGCTCCATTCAAACAAAACCATCTGACAGTCAACTTTTTAGTTGGACCACACATTACTAGTGCACAACCTGTGGCAAAAGGATCACTTGTAGATATTGCTTCACTTAAAAAGATCACCACCGCTGCATTATGATTTACATTTACATTTTCTATTTTGGCAGATGCTTTTATCCAAAATCACTTACAGGTGAGGGACAACATCAAGGCTCCAGGGCAGTCGGAGACCGTTGATGTAAGTAGTAAATATTACATCTATTCAAAGAAATCAAATTAAGAAGTGAAAGTGCATAGCATAAAAGTGCATAGTAAGTGCTAGTAGTTAGAGATATCCTACAGGACCTCATATTACATCTGTGATTCTCATTAGGGAAATGTAGACACCTCATTTATACTCAGTGGTGTTTTTTAAATATCTGTCCTGTGGTATTATAACAGGATTAACTCCAACTTTAAAAAAGAACAATTACACAGTATGTGCGAGTGTTGCTGTGATATTGTAAGGTAGATATATTCTTCAAAGCGTTATAGGAACTGTGTCACAATACTCACACTATGTCTGAGCTGCTCTCCTCTCACTCTTCTTTAGCTTTCCTCTCGGCATGTTTTCGCTGCGTTTGCTTGTTTCTATGGCAAGTTGTTTTGGCTTGTCCTCTTGTGCTAGTCACTTTGATAGAGTCTGCTAACCAACGCTGTCACGTCTCCCTTCAGCACGTCTGTTACTCTGCTGATAAGCAGCGGTGTCTTAATTCCCTCTGCTATCCTCTTTGACCACCCCCTCATCATAATTCCCACCCCCTTCGATAGAAAATTATTTAACTCCTACTCTAAACAGATTAAACAACAAGAGATGAAAGAGTCCCTGTCATGTATGCTCAGATAAATGTGTTGACTTTGTTGCGTTAAAGTCTTCCAAGTGGTTTGGATATCTCTGTACTCACCCACATACACTGAGCCTGGGTAATACATGGTGACGTAATAGGGGTCCTCTGGTTCCTCCATGATAAATGCTCTTTTCGCTGAAGAGTAATCCACTTGGTTTGGTGGAAGAGAAGCTGTTGTTGATGTTGTTGTCTCTTCTGGTCTCTGGTACAGTCTGTGCTGTGGCTGGGATGGCAGGTCAAAGACCCCCTTTGAACTACTGCCACAGCTGTTTGTGTTGAATGGGCAGCCAGCCACAGACGGAGGCCAGCTTACCACGCATTTCTCTGAGGGATGTTCTAGTAGCTTTGTGGGCACACTATGGTGGTCAGGTGGTGCAAAAATATCTGTTTGATTCGGCCCCGTGTCACTGAGTGTCACCTCTTTGTGGTTTTTATTTTGCCCAGGAGATAGCCTGTGATCTAACAGATATTTCTGTGATGGGATGTCAGCGATTGAAGAGCTTCCTGTTTGTGGTGTGGTGCACTCAACAGAGGAAGGTCGGGAGGCCTCTTGCGTCTGAGGCACCACCAGACATGTTTTAAGTCGATTTAATCTGTGTGCACGCTGAGAAGCCTCCGTTTTCTGGTCGATGCCTCTTGACTGGCAGCTGTAATCCTTTGTAAAACAGTCAGAGTGACTCACTGTGCTCTGTACATCCATCTGGGCAGTTTCACTCTGGGCCTTTGACCAGAACCTGCGTTTCTGTTGGGACTTGATGTGTTGAGATGCTCCAGTTTGTTGAAAGAGAGTAGGCCAAGAGTTTCCTGTAACTGTCTGTGCGTTGTTTTCTTTCTTGGGTCTCCTGAGATTAGAGCCTGGTGGAAATGTATCCACTTTCGTTTCATTGTACAAATCAAATCGTCTTCTCCTTGTCTCTATATTGGGTGAAACAGTCGACTGACTCAGGAGAGGCTCTGTGGATAATGACATTTTAGGAGTCGTGGGTAAAGCTGTACTTCTCATTTGTTCATATGATTTATTATTGGGGGCAGACCTTGCAGTTTGAGTGTAGTATCTATTCGGAGGGTAGTCTGCACATTTCCTCTGAGCATTCAGTCCATCAAGCACTGACTGAGATTCTCTGGGAACAACATTAGCCGACTGAATCCCCTCAGAGTCTGAGAGAAATATTTCTGTACTTGTTGCTGAACTTGGCAAAAATTCCTGTTGCTGTTTGATGTTTGATTTTGGTTTGTTGATTGCAGAAAAGTCTAAATTCCTCGGTGGAGGCTTTGGTTTATCTTTTGAACTACTTTCTTTTTTACTTGAACCAACTTTGCCTTGCAATAAGCAGGAATTCTGAGACGTGGCTGCGTGTATCTGGGACTCAGAGTGAGTCTGATGTAGAGACTCTCCGCCCGTCACGGCACAAGATCTTCTCAAATGTGGATGAGTAAAGTTCAGTAAAGTTTCTTGGTCAAGAAGGTCATGCTTTGCCTCGTTTGAGAAACTCTGTTTACGCTCCACTTTCGTATTTGAGATGGTTATAGATCGAGCACGTCTTTCTTTAGCTACAGGAGAAGGCTGCTTGCCTCTCTGGCCTTCCAAACTCATCCCTTGGCACAGCAACGTTGGGGATGGACTCAGTCTGGGTGTTGGGACAGTCAGAGTTGGGGATACACTAGGCTGAGGCTGAGGCTGAGGCTGGTGCAGTAATGGAGGAAGATCACTCAACTGTGAGGCAGGGAGATGAAGAGAATCACTTGGCTTTGGCCTCAGAGTTGAGGCAGTGGGAGAAGAATTTGGCTTTGGAGCAGGAAAAATGGAGATGCTGGGCTTTGCGGAGAGAGCTGGAGAGCTGTATGTTTTGGGTTTGGTTCTTGGGAGGGTTGACGCTCTTTCCCCATGGATTCTCTGCGAATGCTGACATAATTTACTCCAAGAGGACTGACTGGATGTCTTGGTGGAACAAATTGGAACAAAAGATCTGGAGCCAAAAGACGGAAGAAAAATTGTTAAACTGCAAAATGAACCCAATATAATATTTACAATATTGCATAACACATAAAACTGACTTAGAATATGAGCTACAACTCAGTTTACCTGTCAGTGATTGTCTGTTCTATGTCGTGTTTTTCGTAGATGAGCCCTTTCTCATCGAATGATGGGATTTGAATTACTTTCTTTTTGATCACAGGAGAAGAGAGCGAGAGAGGAGGTGACAAACAGACTGATGGATGTTCCCTTGCTTGTCTGGAGGATGCAGATACTTGAGACATCAAAGGAGCCAGACGGTCATAAATGCTCATTCTCTTGTGTAAAGTTGTGAAGGAGGAGATGGAAACAAAGACCAATTAAACTGATGCTAGGGGAAAATAAAGGAAAATCAGGTTCTAAGAGAAATACCGAATGTAAGAGTCAAAGTCAGACAGCAGTGGATGAAACATTCAGATCTTTTAGCATTCAAAATCTCCTTGATAGTGTTATAAAATATGCTTCAAGTATTAAAGGAAAAAATTCTCATTATGCAGAGGAAATGCCTCTGTGAAAATTAAACTATGATTATCACATTGTTAACATGGATTAATGAGTAATTAGCATTTTACAGTTTCAGCTGTAACTACTTTGTTGGGTAATTACATTTGTAAAAGTGCATTGTTTGTTAAAATTTCAACATGTTTTTTATGTTAGATGTTAATCTGCAGAAACTATAGCTGTGTAAAATGTAGCGGAGTTGAAGTATAAAGTAGCATAAAATGAAAATAATCATGTAAAGAACACAGTGATAGTACAGCAAACACTGCAATCTGAGACAGCAGGACTGGTAAGCAGTGCCACCATAAATTTCCACTGAATAACAAACATCTACAAAGAAAAAATACAAGTTTTCAAAGGTTACAAATGAGGAAAAAGACACGAACCTGCTGCTTGCCTCTCTGTCCCCGTTGTTGACACTCTGAGTGAGTGAATAAGTCAAAGAGGGCGAGACGAGGAACAGAGAAGTAGGAAGTAGTGGGCACAGAAGTGCCATTCTCTCCATTCCTCGACACTGAGGCTTCACTGTTTCACTCCCACTCTGGTCCCTCATTTTGTTCGGTTCATCAGACACTGTCTGTGAAGTCTGAATGTGTTCTGTCTGGTTACAGTGCAGATCAGAGGTGGGAAAAGTATTCAGATTGTTTACTATGGCCTAACAATGTAACAATGTAGAAATACCCCTTTACATGTAAAAGTCCAAGTATCAAAAGTATCAAAAGGAAAAGTACTGGAGCCCTGGAACTGATATGTTATTTTAAATGACATTTACCTTAAATACAAAAAAAAAAAAAAATCAAAGCTCTGCTCATTTTGTCCCATTTATTTTCACTCTCTGCTTTTTGTGAAACAGTTATTTAAATTAGATTATCTGAGAAGTTCGCCTATCCGACCTGACCTTGGATAAGCGAAAGAAAATGGATGGATGGAATAAAGTTTCTTTGACATCTGAAATGTAACAATAGGCTACCATCACATCAGACACCCCTTTTTTTTTTGGTCATGTTTTGTCTCGCATTTATAAGCTTATCATGTGTTTTTTAATATAAAATTGTCATTTGAAAACTCTAGCTGTCAGATAGATGCAGTGAAGTAAAAAGTACAATATTTCCCTCTGGAACATAGCTGCATAAAACAGAAGTACCATGACAAAAGCCACTTGAGTAAATGCACTTTTGAGCAATGGTGCAGATATACTCCACAAATCTTAAATATTACTTTACTCCGGTATTATTATCTTTGTGATCACATACAGAGTAAACCCAAAGGACTGAAGATTAAACTGTTTTATTTTTGTATGAACAAAGGAAGCATATGATCATCAAAAAAGGGTTGTTACACACCCACAGTTTCCTCACCATGCTGTCAAGTAAAAACAATGAAAACAAAAAAAAATACACTTATAGCATTACCAAATACTAGTTTTCTGTAATCTTGGTCCATCTAGGATAATCTTGGCACCTTGAATAAATCAGTCGCATTTATTCAGTACACATTATTTTAATAAAGTCACAACTACACCATTTTGGCACAGTGGCACTAACAATCTACATGCTTCTCAGCAGCTGCCATGCCGACATCGCCACAGAGAGGATTAAAAACCCTCCTCAGTGGCAACAAATTCATTGCACTTATTGTCATTCACTTCACTAATCAAATGCACAATATAAGTAAACTCCATGATATATGTAAAGTGATTGTCAAATTACAAAACGTATGTAAAAGTTGGCACAAGTATAAGATGGCATGAAATTTACATTGGGTTTCAAACACGTTTCTAAAGGGCAGCATGTCCTCCAATCACCTCACAATCTCTTTCTGCATGTAAGTCTTCTCCTCCTTGTGCATTTGGATACATTTTAAAAATTCTTTAAATCTCCCACTGCTTCAGTTTTCCCTGATGTCTACAGCAAAAATCTACAGAGATCAGAGAAAAGTTGGAATGATAGGACAGGACTTGCATTATTATCAGATAATCTTTCCTCCATCTTTTGTCTCTTTCTTTTTCTTTCTCCATCTTTAAGGTGTTGGCTCCCATCCCTCCGGTGTCCTGGCAGCACCCCTGTCCAGATGGCCTGCCGCCTCGCCCTCTTGATCATATCAGGGCATTGCTATCGTCATCTCTGCAGTTCACACTGGCCACCAGCGGGTGATGCCGGACTGTTTTGTTGCTCCACTTGTGGGCATCCTGCAGCCCGGGCTCTAGGAAGTACAGGCACGCTCCGAAGCCTGCCAGCACCAAAACCGACACCAGCAGGTAGAGTGGGACGAACCAGTCCAAGAACAGCCACGACATAACTGCTGTCAGAGCGAAGCGATGGGAAGGGTGGAGGAGGAAAGGACAGAAAAAATGGATGGGTGAGGGGATAGGGAGGAAGGACGTGATGGAGAAAAGGAAGGAAAAGGAGGCGAGGGGAGAGATTTTGGAGAAGGGTGGATGAACAGAGTTGTACTTTAAAAGTCATCCCTGCAAGCACTCCCTCTCTGCTGGGTAAGATATCATGCATGACAAACTGCAGCATCTCAGTGTCCCATTATTTGCAGTCATTCCTTAGAAAGCCTTCCCGCTCCCTCTTTGTAATCCCAAATGTCGGATGAAGCACACGAATGAATACGTTACACAGTACACAATGCCTATCAACACTTCTATCAGGCTGAGATTCACGATTTTTAACTTGCAAACACACACACACACACACACACACACACACACACACACACACACACACACACACACACACACACACACAGGTGTTGCGTTCTAAAAATAGTGCACGGTAGTAAATAAAGGCATGGTGCTTACCTGCAGACGCTGCTGAGTCAGTTGGTCTCTGTGTGTCTGATGGTATGTGATGTGCGGCAGCTGCGAGTCAAAACAATCATTAGATTATTTCCAGTGCTGCAGCTCCCACTGTTGCATGTGAGACGGCAAAAATCACAGGTGCTCTCTGGGAGGCACAAGAGACAGAAGCTGCATGCGGCTTCATCCTCCAGCTCCTGGCTCTCTGACGTTCAAAGGAGGGGTGGGGGTTGCCATGACAACACCCCTGCTGATGGCTGAGAGGATGGAGGGAGTGGGAGGGAAAACTTATATAACTATAATCATTTTTTTTAGGGGGGGTGGGGGGTGACTGTTGGGGTAGTGGGCTGGAGGGAGGTGGGGAGGGGTGGGGTGGGGGTGGGGGGGGTGGCTTCAGATGTCTCTGGATGCTCGCCGCCTTGCTGCCCGCTGCGTAAAATCAGTTCCACTCCATTTAACACAGAGGCCATCACACCGTTTATGTGACATTGCGAGAGAGGAGGTGGTGGGGGTGGGGTGTATGTGTGTATGTGTGTGTGTGTAGTGTGTATGAATGTGGGGGGGGGCGGTGGGGGGGGGCATTTCTGTGCGAGTGACTCCTCTCTTATCTGCTCTGTCTGACAGCAGCTGCGGTGTTTTATGGAGTCACTCCCATGAGTTTTCTCTTCTTTTTTTCTTTTTTTTTTTGTCTTGCTGTTTCCAAGACAAAAGCTGAATACAGAGCTGATGGCCTACATAATGAGAAGTTGTCATCTTTTTTAATGACTGACATTTTTAGCTCATTCTGCACAGGCAGCGGATTTGTGACAAGCAGCCGCGTTAAACAGATCAGCTTCAAATAAAGAGCTGTGATATCGCTCCAAACTGAAATGATGACATGTGACGTCCTGGTTGTATAAGTTACATAAAGAACTCACATATTCTATGAACTGGCAGGACTTCATTCAGTTTAGGGCTTTTATAATTGGCTTATCCTGAAAGCTAGTTCTGATTCTCATCAGATCTTTGGCTGATGTTTGATTTGGTTTATAGTTTATAAAATACAACATTGTATCAGACTTTGTCAGGAATGGCAGAATAAAGTCTTTATTTTTGTTATCTTGTATGACTTGTATTGGTTTTATTCATTTTATTACACTATGTGATTCAATATATTTTTTATAGATTTTATAATTTGTTGATTTTGGTTTGCTGCCTCGGACAGATTAACATTGATGATTATGATTATTATTATAAAGTGCTTGTTCCCATTGCTACTGCTGCTGCTTTCACGGTCCACCAACCTTTATCAAGATGGAGACAGTTAATAATTTTTTCTGATTCTGACATTATCTTAAATGTATACAACAATCTTTGTGAAATGATGACAAACACAAACAATACAACAAAAACACCTGTACTTTTGTACTTTCTGTCTGTTCGAGTAAAGACTGTAAATGTCTAGTCACGGGTCTAAATGTAAATGAGCAGCTTCAGTAATAATGTGTTCAGTGGAGGTTTACACATTAACACATAATTATTCCAAGTCACTGCAGGAACTTTACAATGGTGTTCAAACAGTAACGTATCTGGAGGGGAAAGAAATGGCACAATATTATGGTAATGTGTTCTCTGAGTCAAGATGAGAAGAGTGTACCGAGACTTTGAGTGTGAAATTTCACAATAAAAATGTGTCAGAGTGTGTGTGTGTATGTGTGTGTGTGTGTGAGTGTGTGTGTGTGTGTGTGTGTATGGCTGCGTGTACTGTTTGTCACTTGTGTGTCCGTCCACTATGCTAGCGGTTGCTGCGACAACACTTTGACGTGCAGGAAGTCAGAAACAAGTGGAGCGACGACTTCAGGATCATTTAGATGGACGTGATGATCGCCTGGTAATGTCACCACCGTGTGCTGAGGGAGAGAGAGAGATTTAATGGGGTTTTTTTCCATAAACAATTAATCAAACTTTGGAAAAAAAAGGTCAATTAGCAAAACATTTAATTTATGTTTTGACTTCATTACTCTGCTGATTCATTTCTGGTTCTACATTCATTCTGTATATACTGTACTTTTTTGTTTTTAAGCCTCAGTAGTGAGGCTCAATGTAGTTTGGTGACTTCACTTCACATGGGGGATTTCTGTCTGTATTCACCATCCTGGTGCTCTACCATGGTTAAATGATCATAATAAACTTTTTGCAGCATCTACTCAGATTTTTTTTCCCCCTTAAACTTTCAAACTCACATTTCTGTCACGGTAGCCCTGTAGAAGTGTGGAGAAAAGTTTCTGATGGTTTGATTCTGAAATTTTTGCCTCAAAGCCTTTTTCTGCTCTAGAGAAACACAGATTTTGAAAAATTTTAGGAAAACAATGATGATTTTATAAAGGCACATTAAATTATTGTGATAATTCATAATATCACAATGCAAATATCAATTTCAGTATAGAAGCCAAATTTTTTACAGAATAACTAGGACAGACGCTTGAATCCTCAGCTGCATCTCCAGACTTTGCTCCAAAGTGATCCGCACTATGTTTTTCTGAAATCATAAAGCCAAACACACACAAGATGAATGCTTAATGTCTTTTGGAGAATATAGGGATGTGGTGGAGGGCTTGGGAGGTTAAAAGGGACTTACAAAATTAAGTCTCAGGTCTCTGGAGAACACAAATCCTGCAGAAGAGAAACACATTCAGCTGCCAGCAGATGAGAGGAAGCAAAGTGAGATTATTCCTCACTGAGAGGAGAAGAGGAAGATAAAGACGTACCTCCTTCGACTTGAACTAGACCTCGCTCTAACAGGATGCACACAGACTGTTTAGACAGAGTCGGGTTCGCAGTCAACAGCCTGAAAGATATGAAATATCTTGGCCAACAGCTGAGCACACAGACAAAGCCACTAGAAGTCGACTAGTCCTTTTAAAATGACCGACAAATGAAATGAAATAATATAATACCTCTCAACTGCCTTCTCATAAGTGTAAACTCTTTTCTTTTCTTCTGACTTTTTTTCAAACTGGATCATCTCATCCATCCCCTGCCTCATCACTTTGGATACTTCTTTCTGCAGGAAAAGAGACAGAAAAGCTGAAGTGATAAAGACAAAAACTACTGACACAAGTAGAACATGAAAATAACTGAGGAACCATGGAATAATACAGCAACAATTTAGACATCCATTTTATCACTATTATTCCTACTAGACCACATCTTTCCTTTAAAGGCTCCTCATATCACTGCAGTGATAATGAAAACAGGTAAAGTACCGGGTCTGTAGGTAAGAATCCGTAAGCGTCCAGCAGCACGAGAGCATCCACCATCTCTGGATACAGAGCACTGAACTGTAGAAAACACAATACGGACCTTACACAATGACACCATGCAAGAAAATACAGCAAAAATATTCTTTGTATATTGTGTGAAAACAGTGATTAAGTTGCATTTGATGGCTCTTAGTTACCATTGCAGCAACATTACCACCTGTAAGAGAGGGAAAAACAACAATCATGCTCAACGACTTTGATCGTAAAGCTGCAACTAACAATTATCTTCATCATCGATCAAATATCTTAATGATTGAGTTTTTGGATTAATCAATTAGTCTTTTAGTCCATAAAGTGCAAAATGAAAAAGGTAATAAATGTCCAAGATAATTGTCTTCTAATTCAACCATCAGTCCAAAACCCAAAGATTCCTGATTTTTGCAATGAAAAACAAAACAGCAGCAAATCTGAACATTTCAGAAGCTGGAACCAGACAATGTTTCCCAATCTTGCTCTATACTGCAAATGACTTAAATGATTAATCAATTATCAAAACAGTTGGTGATTTATTTTCTGTCGACTAATATGTTCAATCACTGATTGTTCCAGCAGCGTTTGACAGATCACTCTACACACAAATTAAATCCCATTTAATCAGCTGGCCTTGTTCAGGTTCCTTAACAAGGTTTTAATGGTAGCAGATGTGAAAAGAGTGCAATGCAGTGTCAGTACAGGTGGTGTTTTATTTATATTTTGCTTAGACTGCAGAGCGTGTGACTCACCCATACTATGACCTATGACGGAGAAGTTAGTCCACCGCAGCCCTGTGGGAGTTATTTCACAAGACAAAGACCACATCCAATTAAATCTAGTTACTGCTACTGCTGTGCTTTGTAACGGCGCTGATTTAACTGCCACAAAGATGCACCAGAGTCCTGAAGAGATTCAAACTATCGCTGCAGCGACATGTGAGTGAAACTAACGGCTAAAAATGTCCTGCAGTGTCTTGCGCTCACACACCATCAACGACTCTGCGTACATCTGCCACATACGCAGAAAACGAGTAGAAAACCCCAGGAGGACGGTGTGATGACAGACCGTGGCCTGCCAGGTCCACCGCCACATATCTGCAGTCTGAGGGGAAGGACAGAAAGAGAGATGCATTGAAACACACCACAGAGAGCTCAGATACAACCTGGAGAGACGGTAACCCCAACAGGCTTCAGTCTTGTGTCTTATGTACTGTCGTTATTTATCATTGCTAGTGGGATGATAATGTCGGTCGGTCCTCCACTTTGGCTCAGACTGCAATGTCTCAACAAATGTCATCCCAGCTCCACACTTCTGATTCTGCACAGTTACATACTTATTGACACACTACACTGTTTTAGCAAGTAGTACACAAAAACATCTGCATACTATTTTATACAACCAGGAAATCATACAAAACATGTGCTGTTTGGAAAGTTTCAGTTTTTTTTCTAAGAGTCACTATTCATTTTTTTCCGAGATGGTTTTGAAACTATTTGGCCACCAAACCACAATTTATTTGTTTATTTCCCAGAAGTGAGTAGCTCATCTTTTTCCTTTGTGCATTGCATTGTGGGAGATAAGTCTGCATCAGCAGCACACTCTGCTTTTATTTTGTCACTTTTCCAGTGTAGACACGCTACATGCCAAATACCTGTTTGGACACAGTATAACTCATAAAATCAGATGAGTCACATGGGACAGTCAATCCCAAACACAAAAATTTTGTTTAATAAAAGTTTGATTACCCTCCTCTGTTCTGTCATGGTTTACCTTTGGGTAGAAGGAAATTTTAAAATGAATTAGGGCTGTAACTGACAATTATTCTCATTATTGCTTAATCGCTAAATTTGTTGTTTATTTCTATGATGACTCGATTGTTTGGTCTATAAATAGAAAAAAGTGAAAATTCACAGTTTCAGCGCCTTAGGTGATGTCTTTAAAAAACTTGTTTGGTCAGATCAGCAGGATAAAACCCAAAGATGTTAAATTTACAATGATATACAACCCAGTGTAGGACATGTGTGAGCAAATGTTTCACATTTTTCATTGAAAAAAATTACGGAAGATTAATTGATCAATTGCTGAAGCATGCTTTTCTTCATCCATTTTTCTTTTTAATCAAATTCATCAATTGGAAGTATATTAAAGCAAACATTGCCTACATTTCATAACTACCAAATTACATATCTAGCTCTTTGCAGGAAATGTCCTGGAAAGTTATTAGGAAATGGAAATTATGGATCCATAATAAGAAGCATTTCCCAATTTTGTTTAATAGAAGTTTGATTACTCTCCTCTGGTCCGTCATGGCTCACCTTTGGGTAGAAGGGGGATGAGGGTGTTGAATGTGCCACAGTTGTCAGCCCAGCCGTGCAGGCACAGCACAGGACGACCATGATCAGGACCCCAGACTTTACCTCTGATCTCTCCCCATGGGACAGGAACACAGAGCTCTGAGACTGGACACAAAACACAACGGCTCAAACAAAAGGATCTGACAGATATTTAATGTTGATATAAATTAACAACAGCATTTGACAGGAACTGACAACATCCATGACTCCTGTGAGTTTGGGGTAATGAGGAAATGATACCTGCTTGTCTTACTGCAGATGACATTTCAGTGCCTGATGATGCTCACTTTATGTCTCTGAAGAAGCAGAAAGAAATCACCTGCAAGGCTGAATAAACACCCAAGGCGAACCGCAAAGTGACTCAGTTAACTTGACACAAATCCTGAGGTGTCCATGCAACAGGTGAGACAAGCATTGACCTGTGCTCTTTGAACCCCAAAGGCAGCGCATAGTGACGCAATGATTGCATTGGATGTTCAGAATGACTGGCTGCACTTGTGGCCAATCACAACACACTGCGGAGGCGGTTTCTTACCTTGCAACAAGCCAGAAGCCTATGGCCAGAGGAGAGCAACGTACGACTTTAAGGTGCTTTTGTTACCTCAGTACGGTCTGTCAGGCAGCGTTCAGCCGGGACAATACAGCTGGCAGAGAATGAAATCTGGCACGAGACCCGCTGGGAACAACACGGGCTTTTCAGGTTCAAGTCTGACACAATTAAAAGGGAAAGAACAGACTTATTTCAAGATTTAAGTTGGGTTATCGTCTGATTAATGAAACTCCATGATGTGCATGTTTTACCCATTCACAGTGGCTTCCCATGTCTGCTTGTTCCCTAGAATATCAGCGAGAGATTCACAGTGCCATGATGTCACTGAGGCTTTGAGTGAACATCTCATAAGTGTTGAAATATTAATACACAAATATCAACAAACATAAACACATCCTGCTTTTTCTGTCAAGCCTCCTTGAGACCTCACCGTGAAAAATAGGGCATGAAAAAAAGTTTCCTCTCTCAAGAATAAAAACTCCACTTATATAAATGTGCTTTTAAGTGACTCCTTTCTCATTTTACTGTATGAGCTTTCCTTCCTTTATCGAATGAAGCTTTTGTGTTGACTCTGTGATTCTTTCACTTTTCTATTTTGAGTTATTTCTTTTACCTTGTTGTTTTATTGCTTTTTGTCTTGTGATGCACATTGTAACCTTGTTCTGAAAAGTTTATTATTATTATTATTATTATTATTATTATCATTATTATTATAAGTTATCCTTACTCATTCTCCCACTGCCACAGGGTAAACATATGGTCACTTAAGTGAATTGTAGTAAAGCACAATCATCATGTTTCTGTGCTGAGCTAGCCTCATTCCCATCCTCCACCTCACTTGCTTTTATCATCTAACTACGACATATTCTTGCAGCGCAGAGCCATAAATTATAATAATATACTATTCATATAGTACCTTTGATTGAGGAAATGCAACACAACATTCTTTAAATTTAACATACATCTAAAAGAAAATGATATATGGATGGTTTCAAAGTTCAATACAAATGGTCATGATGACCAGCCAGAGGAAAGTAATAACAGATTGTATGTAAAAGCAAAGTTAAACTAGAGAGCATTAGGCTGAATATTCTGCAGATGCAGGTCATACATGGATCCTGATGAGAGGATAAGAGGATAAAGACTCCTGCGACCATTGCAGAGTTGATAATCATCCACCTGAGCCGGCCTAGTTCTTAATGTTCACTGAATCTGTCGCCAAAAAACAAGAAAAAAAACACGAACTTGTGTCTTTAGTACTCACATTTGATTGCCTCTGTGCCGCCACTGTCCCTTCAGTTTCTGCAGGTCATTGGGATGGTGTGAACCACAGCCAGTTTTGCCAACAGTGTCTCTGTCGCTCAAAGCATCCACCGAACACATGAATTCACCAAAAAGCTTTTAATTATCAACCCGTCCACCATAAAAGACGCAAAGCTGACTGTGTGAACACTGCAGTATAAATACAGTAAAATTAAAATCTAAATGTGGGAGACTGAGAACCTGGATTTTAACACGAGTTACTTCTGAGTTCTGCTATGAAACCATCAGCCAACAGCAGAATCTGAGATAAACTGGACAGAAGTAAGGAGGGATCAAGTGCGTCAAAGGCCTCTGAGAGACTGATGAGGATGCATCACAGTGGGGTCTGATGTAACGTCCACGGCACAGTACTTCATTTACAGCCGGTGATGTGAAAAGCTCTACGGCCAGACTGAATGTTACCTGTTGATCGCAGGATGTTTCCTAGACAGAGAAGCTGAAGAGATGGAGCTGTGGTTGTTCGTGTCACTTTTCTCCACAAAGTTTTTCATACCTTGGAAAGTTGAGTCATATTAAAAATAAAGTTTAAATTAAAAACAAATGCTCTGCATCGATCAAAGTAGAGAGTTCAAAGTCGACATTTTGGGAATGATGCTTTATTTGCTTTCTGGCCAAGAGGTAGAAAAGATGATTGTACAGTAAACATAAAACTACAGCCAGCAACTGGTTAGCTTAGCACAGCATAAAGCTGCTATGTAGGTGCAGAAGTGTGTCTGTCATTCCTCTGTATTCAGTTGTCAATAAAGTTGTAAAATAAACTAAAAACAAGCAATGATGGCACTTCATGGGAGCTTTTATGCCGTTGTCAGCCAGGCTGATCTTATAAACAAACCTACAGACCTAACTGTGATCTAAAGTGTGTTAGGAAATGTCTGTAGCTTATAACTTGTGCTGCTTGGTTGATACTGACAGTGCTTTAGTTCGCAGGAAGTTGGACACAAACGGAGCCACGACTTCAGGTTTATTCAGATGGACGTGATGATCGCCTGGTACTGTCACCACCTTGTGCTGAGAAAAAGTAGAAACACATATTAACTGACATAGTGAAACAAAAAACCAAAAAAAACACCTCAAACGTCTTTATTGAATTTAGATAAAAACTTACATTTCTGTCCTGGAAGGACTGGAGGATCTATTGTGAGTAATCCGGTTCAGAAAATATTCTATAAAAGCGTCTTCTGCTTTCGAAAAAAAAAGAGTTGAACACTTTATTAAGTGTAGAAAGACTCATACACTGTAGATTGGAAGGCTACACTATGTTATGGATAGACAGCTATAACATAGATATGTACAGACAGCGATATGTACTTGTTAACACCAGGCCAACTTCTTACAGAACAACTAGGAAGAGTTAATCCTCGACTGCATCTCCAGACTCTGCTCCAAACTGAGCGCCATTATGTCTTTTCTGCAAAACATAAAATGGAAACGCAACAGCATGTTCAGCGGCGTAATGCTAATACCTACTGGTGTAACGAATAGAGAGGAGGTGGTGATTGTGGTGAGGCGCTTGGGAGGTTAAAAGGGAACTTACAAAAAACTCTCAGGTCTCTGGAGAACAAAATCCTGCTGAAGAGAAACAATTCAGCTGCAGAATGAGAGGCAAAGTGAGATTATTCCTCACTGAGAGAGAAGAGGAAGTATAAAGACGTACCTCCTTCGACTTGAACTAGACCTCGCTCTAACAAGGATGCACACAGACTGTTTAGACAGAGTCGGGGTTTCGCAGTCAACAGCCTGAAAGATATGAAATATCTTGGCCAACAGCTGAGCACACAGACAAAGCCACTAGAAGTCGACTAGTTCCTTTTAAAATGACGACACACTGAAATAATATAATACCTCTCTAACTGCCTTCTCATAAGTGTAAACTCTTTTTTTTCTTCTGATTTTTCAAACTGTTGATCATCTCATCCATCCGCCTCATCATTTGATACTTCTTTCTGCAGGAAAAAAGGAGAAAATAAATATAACTGACACAAATACAATAATACTGCAGAGAATATCATCACTTGAAGGAGGATATTTAATGAACATATTAATTTATTTACCTCGAAAATTTCAGGTTGTATTAAAAAAAAAACAACCCTGTGATACATTATAATGAAGCACAGTATCTAATTTTCAATTAAACATGTGATTTATGTACTAACATTTAACCAGGGCTGCAGGTGCACATGAGAAGCTGGTAAACTATCTGTACTTTTTTCTGGGGATTGGGAGATTTGCAACCTGGAGGATTGGAAATAGAAATATGATTTACTGCATTTAAAGTGCCTGATTGTAGGATTTTTATATCAGTTTATGTTAATTTGAGTACTTATAGCCAACAATATAAAAACTCTAACCCGAAAAAGAAATCATTGCCATCGGCATTTCCTCCTGAAAAACACTTTGACCTCAATTTTTGGGAGATAAAATGTACAGACGACGAGTGGAACAGTTCAAAAATATAAAAAATAAAAATATTAATATTTTGAAAGATTTCTTTTGGCATCACAGTCAATTTAATAGTACGGAGGGGAGGGTACGTTGGGAGGACTCACGATCATTGACTTCAGTATTTGCTTAAAATTCCTAGGCTCCTGGATTTGGCACGAACCAACAAAAAATAAGCTCGCAAGTAATTAGAGACTGTGTGTATATCAGATATAATGTACGAATGAAAAGTGAGAACTTTAAGGGGGTCCAGAACATAAGAAGAGATTAAAGATAGTCTACAAGAGATGTTTTGCGGATGTATTTCTGTGAGTTCACAGAGGTATATGTTTTTCAACATAGTGCCGACCTGAGAGGAGGATGCCGTGCTGACGTACGAAATTATACAATCAGATCGTTATTAGTCAGTTACAAAAATACTTGCAGGTTAAGTTTTGTGTTCATGCATGCAAGAGCCAGGGATTAGAATACTGAAGTTCATGATCGGAGTCTTCAACGTTACCCTGCCCACTTAGATTAATTGCTGATGATCCTATATATATCAAAAATTAGATATATTTTATTTTTTATATTAGAACTGTTCACAATCTGATCGTCTGTACATTTATCTCTCGAAAATTGAGGTCATAAGTGGTTGTTCTCAGATAACGAATGCCGATGCAATTGATTTTGTTTCGTGAGTATACGAGTATATTATATTGTTGGTAAAGAGTCTAAATAAATAAACTAAGTATAAAATCTAAAATCAGGCATCTTTAATGCACAGTAAATGCAATGTTCCTAATTCCACTCCTCCAGGTTGAATCGTCCAACCCAGAAAAAAGTTAACAAGATGATGATAGTGGTCTCAGGGCATGAGCCCTGGTTAAGTTATACATAAATCAAATTTTTAAGATCTGAAAAATTCAAGAATACTGTGCTCAGGTATAGATGTATCAGCATGGGTTGTTTTT